GTTTCTTAGCAATGTGGACTAGGCATCCAGGCACAGTGTCTATAGACTCCCACTTTGTGTCAGCATCCATGCAGGCTGCACACTGCATTGGGTTGAAAGTTCTCCCATTTCTCTTAAGAGTTCCTTCTTTTTATTTTACCAGCAATGAGGCTGCAGCTTATTGGGTTTTCCTCATGGTGGATCATAATAACTCAAGTGTACACTCATTGATTTTCTCATTAAGTGTGCTAAAACTTGGCATATTTAGTGTTACTTACTTAAGAAGGAAGTTAACTGTCTTTATATTTTCTTTAGAGGTAGACAAGAAAAAGATGAAAAAAATCTAAGATTTGTCAGTGTACATTGATCATCTATGGTGATGGCAAGCGTATGACTTTTCTGGCATGGAGTGCCTATACAAGGCCACGATTTCCTTAGGACAGTTAGTGATTATTGTTCACAAACTGATAGTTACGCATCACACTTTACCTGCCTTGTGTGTGAGAGAAATCTTAGACCTTTGAATTATGTTAATTGTTAGTTTTAACTGTCAACTTGATACAACCTAGAATCATGGGAGACCAGTGAGGACAGTGGTGAGAGCAGACCCTGAGCCACGCACCTGGAAGCTCTACCTTGGTGCTCTCTCTGTGTAACTCCTCAGAAGAGAGGGTGGAAAAGTTGTAGGATCCAGAAGTCTAGAGCCAGATTTCCGGAGCAAAACAATATCCTCTCAACATGACAGGACCACTCACAACAGATGTGCTTCCTTGCACAAGGCCTCCACAAAATCAAGCCAGTCAACATTCCCACGTGAGGTGGGGATGGTTTAAAAAAAACCCTGCCTAGCCCAGAATGGTTAACAGTTGTTGTGTTCTAGAGGAGGAAGACTGTTTTCCTTCACAGTGTAGTTCCTAGTATGTCAACGACACTCCAGTGAATTACTCCACACCCGTGGTTTTATGGGAAATACAAATGTAGGTACTGTGCTTAGGCCATGATGAAAGCTAGTGTGTGATAACACTGGAAAGCACTCTTCTCTTGGAAGGTCAAATCACCACCATGATTCAAAGTTAAAGAAATGTAGACAGTAGTCTCCTGCTTACCGCACCCATCCGGACATGGCCAGGTTCCTTATTAATAAGCCTTTATTCATTCTGATGGTAGTGTAAAGGGTTATTTGCCCTTTGCTTTTCAGAGTTTCTGTGTCTATAAAAAATTAGACCTAAAACTGTAACCACTACTAGGCGATCAGAAACCTATTTTGACGTAATGTTTTTGTATATCTAAATTTGCAGGTGCTAATAATTGTCTGCTCTGCTTTTAGATGGCTACCCCAAAGAAGAAATGATTTATCGTTGGAGGAAAAATTCAGTTGAGGCAGCTGATCAGAAATCGTGGCGGCTCTATCAGTTTGACTTCATGGGCCTCAGAAACACTACAGAAATCGTGACAACATCTGCAGGTAGGAGCACTTAATGAGGTCAGCTTTCAGACGAACAGTGAAAATAGGCCTTTGTCCCCTGTTGTCCAAGCTCCAGCCAAGCCCTGGTGGATTTCCATTGCACGTTTACGATGAATCTTAGCAAGGAACACCCAGGACCGTATTTAAGACAAACAGCTGACTCAAAGATGAAAATGTTAAAGGTTTCAATTTGGGTAGCATAGGAGCAATAAAACTGACTTATATTTTTGAGTAAACTCTGTGGAGGAGTGATATCTATGAACCTAACCAGGTTGCTCAGGACTGGCTGGTTTATGTAACCCTAACTGCATAGCTCAGGACTGACTGGTTTATGTAATCCTAACTGTACTGCTCAGGATTGGCTGGTTTATGTATCCCTAACTGTGCTGTTCGGGGACTGGATAACTTGAAAACCTGTTCTATACCAATGGTGGGGATTCTGCTACATTCACTCTCCTAAGACTCAGGGTGCCACTGAAAATTCACACTGAGAATTCACAAATAAAAGGAGTTGATGAAAAATTCTTTTAATAGTATGTTCTAGTTTTTCCTTTATTGTTGTAAGGCATTTTTGATACATTGAGAGCAGTATTTACCAGTTTTGTTTCCTTGTGATCATTTATTCCTGATATATAGCACCAATTATATGATAAGTCACATGTACAGATTAACATATTTTGATGTCTGAGTCCTTCTTTCTTGTACCTGGTATTTAGTTGTTATAGTCAACTGTCTTTCAACTGACTTTCTTCTGAAAGGTATAAAGATGGGAGTTTAAGTTAGATTTTTCTAAAGGTCTTGCTATTTGCCTATATGACAGTTATTTGCTCTTAAAATCCCATAATAAATTTAAATTATTGATGACTAGAGTAAAATACCAGCTTTGTAATTATAACATATCAACTTAAAATTGTTTAAACTATTAAGTATATCTAATAGCAAAATTTCACAGTAGATAAATATGTATTCAGAAGGGTCCTGAAGAGCTACCTGATAAAAGATAAAAAGGGTTTTCTGGTTTTCATATGAAGTTGAGTATTGTCCTTCCAATGTCTTTAAAGAATTGTGTTGGGATTTTGATGAGGATCGTGTTGAATATGTAGATTGTTTTTGGTAGGGTGGGCATTTTTACCATGTTAACCCTATGAATTCAGGAGCATGAGAGATCTTTCCACCTTCTGATATCTTCTCCAATTTATTTCTTCAAAGACTTGAAGTTTTTTGTCATACAAGACTTTCACTTGCTTGGATAGAGTTACACCAAGATATTTTATATTATTTGTGGCTATTGTGAAGGGTATTGCTTCCTTGATTTCTTTCTGTTTGTCATTTGTATATAGGAGGGCTACTGATTTTTTTTGAGCTAATCTCATATTCAGCCACTTCACTAAATGTGTTTATCAACTGTAGGAATTCCCTGGGGTCACTTGTAGATGATACTATCACATCATCTATAAATAACAATACTTTGACTTCTTCCTTTCCAATTTGTATCCCCTTAATCTCCTTCAGTTGTCTTGTTGCTCTGGCTATAACTTCAAATGCTATATTGAAAAGATATGCAGAGAGTGGACAGCCTTGCCTTGTTCCTGACTTTAATGGAATTACTTTGTTTTCTCTCTATTTAATTTGGTATTGGCTATTGGCTTGTGGCAAATTGCCTTTATTATGTTCAGGTATGCCCCTTCTTTCCCTAATCTCTCCTAATCTCTTTGATCATGAAGGGGTATAGGGTTTTGTCAAAGGCTTTTTCCAGCATCTTAGATGATCATGGGGTTTTTTTCTGTTTTTTTTAATATGGTGGATTATATTGACTGATTTTTGTATGTTGAATCAACATAGTGGATGATCTTGATGTGTTTAGTTTGGGAGTATTTTACTGAGTGTTTTTACATCAGTGTTCATAAGAGAAATTGGTATGTAATCCTGTTTGTTGACTCTTTGTGTGGTTTGAATATCAGGGTGGCTGTGACTTCATAAAATGAATTTGACAAGGCTCTGTCTGTTTTTAATTTGTTGAATAATTTGAGGAGTGTTCACAATTGTTCTTCTTTGAAAGTCTGATAGATTTCTGTGTTAAAACCATGTGACCCTGAGCTTTTTGTTTGTTTGGTTGTTTGTTTGTTAGGTTGGTTTTGGTTGGGAGTCTTTTAATGGCTCTGTGATCAGGATACAATGTATGAGAAAAGAGTAAACTAAAATAAAGATTAAAGGGAAGTATTTCCTTTTTTTCAAGACAAGGTTTCTCTGTGTATGTGGCTGTGGAGCCTGTCCTGGAACTCATTCTGCAGTCAAATGTTCTACCACTATACTATACCCCCTGAACTCATTCTGAAACCAAGATGGCCTCAAACTCACAGAGATCCACCTGCCTCTACCTCTCTAGTGCTGGGATTAAAAGTGTGTGCCACCAACACCTGGCAGGAAGGATTTCTTACAAGTATCACAGTTGTACATTTGAGAAGTAGATTTGTGTCTAATGCTAAGTGATAAAGGCTGGAAGAATGAAGAGTCATGACTTCTTTAAGTGTACTAAGGAGGCAGCAGGAAGGGAGATGTTTGAGGAAATGCCTTCCCAGTTACGACATTGTTCAGATTTCACATAAAATGCAGAGTAAGGACAGAAAGAGACCAAGAGATGGTAAGATATTGAGTCATCCAACAGTGGCATTAAGATGGAAATAGCATACTTTTAAGATGACAGAAGATAGGTTGGGTGTGGTGGTACATATCTTTTATCCCAGTACTTGAGAGGCAGGTGGACCACCAGGAGTTCAAGGCCAACCTGATCTACATTGCAAGACCCTGTCTCTAAAGGGAAAGTATGGATAATTTCACAAGAGAACACGAATTTTTAAAAAAATACCGCCATTAAGAAATAAAGAAAGCTCCACAGTTTTTAAATTAAGAATGTAAAAAGGTCAGCTAAAATAAGACGTAAGAAAATATGGGTATGAACATTGAAGATGACCAGTAGAAGACAGCAAATCTAACAGCAATAATTAACAGTTAAGCAGGCCACGAGTGGGAGAGATGACCTGAAGTTTCCACATGTCTTTTCTTAAAAAAAAAAGTAAAGGTAATCAGAGTCCCAGTAATGGAACTCACAGACAGTGACAACCTGGAAATATTGGAATTCTAAGCATGAAAAGTATCAGAGAGTCTTAAAGACAGCAAAATTGCCTGTAGAAATAAGGGGGTAATAATCTTTTCAGACTAAAAGAAAGTAGAAGAGAAGAGTTTGGTACTGAGAACTCCATTTCTTCAAAGACATTTATAAGCTGATCCATTCCCTGCCTGTATCAAAATTGCCCTAGATGACCAAGAACCTTAGTGAACTTTTCTAAACAATACAGTCAGGATACACGGTATTTTTTGAGCACGGGGTGTGATCATTGGGTGACTGCAGGACAGGTTCAGAGACAAAGTGCAGATTCTGCAGAGGCCTAGCATGAGAGCCATCTTCTGAAAACTCAGAGCCATCTCAGAAGTGGCTAGATTGTAGTAGCCAGGCTTTGCAACACACCGTTCTGTTGGATGAAATCAAACAGAAGCCTGGGGCCCAACATTAATTGCTGTAGTACCTTTCTCTTGACCTGTATTTCACTGACAGGCTCCAGTGGGGTTCTGGGAGAGCCCAGCTGTCAGTCAGAGGGAAGGCAGCTCTTCCTAAAGCATCACAGCCCAATGTGCACAGCTGATACTTTGGATGTTCATTCATGTTTTAAGTGCAGGAGCGGCTCTCAATGGTTGTCCAAAGTCCAAAAACATCACAGTGTGTATGAAATTTCAGTTGTTCCCAGTACTTAACAGTGAAGACAAAGCTTCAGAATGCTTCCCCAGCCGGATGGTAAGCACAGAGGACAGGTGCTGCACCATGGGTCCAGATGGTCCTGTGTTGTTTGGACAGCACTGTGCCAGTTACCTGGTATTTGGCCCTAAGCAGTTCCTGTGACCATCACAAATGAGCTCCTGGTATTGATGTAGGAGAAAGTTGAAGTAATAAAATTGATACAATGAATAATGTTCTAGTAAGCTTGCTTAGGAAACATTAAGTTTCATGAAGTTGAATTTAGCTAAGGATTACTGCCTCCAATATGCCAAGGTGACTGATACATAGGACGATGAGCAGGCTCAATAGATGAGGAGTAGTAACGTCAGTATGACTAGAGATACCTAGAACACCGACCATGCTTGTTAGCTGAAGGAGCACTAACTCCAGTATGACTACAGATAACGAGTACACTGGCCAGGCTCCTTAGAAACAATAAATAGGAGGGGGAAATTGGTACCATGAGAAGTGTAGGCTTTCTGAGAAAGTTTCTGCTTAATGTTTGGTCACCAAGATTGACCCCTCCCCCCAGTTAGGTTCTATTCCCATAACTAAAGGAGACAATCCTCTCATGCAAGAGGCCATTAGGCCTATCCCTTTATCAAAGAGTCTTCATGTAGAGGATAGCTCACGGAGGGTGACAGAGCTCAAGGATAGCTCAAGGAGTGCAGGGTGACAAAGTCCTTGTCTTCTAAAAAGCTCCTGGTTCTCTTAAGAAAGCCACAGTTCTGTCAGTGGGCAAGAAAGCAACACTGATGTACTTCAGAAACAATTCTAACAATATCTTTGCTGTGTAAATCTCCCATCTGCCCAGGTAGACAGATCACAACTCCTGCGTCCATTTCAATTGTTGAAAGTCTAACCTGAGGCCAGGACCAGAAAGAGGTTTAAGACTAAGTTGTATACATGTTAATAGAATCTATTTATGACTAGCTCTTCTTTGAACTTTAGCCAGAGATGGGTACCTACTATCATTAAAGGGGTCTGTTTTGTTTTGTTTTCCAGTGTGTGTGGAGTGAATTCTCACTGGGGGTGGAGCAGGGATTTCTTCCTCGGAATTGAGCCTTGAACAGTTCCTGTGACCATGACAAATGAAAAGGAAATTGCTTTCTCTTTTTTGTTGCTGTGTGAATTTAAGTGAACTAACGCATGCCAAGTGCATGGTTGC